ACTATGTTATTCTTGTTTCTCATGAAGAAGAAAAGTCCACATTTTGATCTCTTTATAACCTGTATTAAAACTATGTTATTCTTGTTTCTCATGAAGAAGAAAAGTCCACATTTTGATCTCTTTATAACCTGTATTAAAACTATGTTATTCTTGTTTCTCATGAAGAAGAAAAGTCCACATTTTGAAAAAGCACTCATGTTATTGGGTTTTGTATGTTTGTACCCATTTGATTTAATTGGTATATTTCATTATTTATTTGAATGCTTCTCCCAATCTATGCACAGATTTGTGTATATCTAATGTATACAATAATTTCTATAAGTTAAATTTTGTTGTGTTTAATTAAAGTAGAATTCTTATCAATGAATAATCATTGAGCTGGAAACATCTACAGAGATTTTTGTTTTTATTCTATATGAATGTAAACTTGTATTTTGATTCTTCTTACTCTTGTAATATTACAACAGAATCTTAATTTAATGCTATAATGGGTGAATATTATTAATGTTATAAGCTACTTGTTTTTCTATAATTTAATTTTTATCTTTTTTCTAATCTTTTAGCTTTAATGATGGAAAAAGTTTCACACTTGTAAAAGATTTGTTAAATTTGCATATTTTAAGGTGAAAACCTAGACAGAAAACCCGTTATTGAAGAGCGTAAGAAGCAACTTTTGGAAAAGGTAATATATGGAAATATGATTTGATATTAATTCTCTAGCCTTGAGTTAAAGTGTGGGTGTACTGTGTTTAGTTCTACCTGTATGTAATGCATTAGGTTAAAGTCTGGGTTTACTGTGTTTAGTTCTACATTAGGTTAAAGTCTGGGTTTACTGTGTTTAGTTCTACCTGTATGTAATGTCTTGAGTTAAAGTCTGGGTTTACTGTGTTTAGTTCTACCTGTATGTAATGTCTTGAGTTAAAGTCTGGGTTTACTGTGTTTAGTTCTACCTGTATGTAATGCATTAGGTTAAAGTCTGAGTTTACTGTGTTTAGTTCTACCTGTATGTAATGACTTGAGTTAAAGTCTGGGTTTACTGTGTTTAGTTCTACCTGTATGTAATGACTTGAGTTAAAGTCTGGGTTTACTGTGTTTAGTTCTACCTGTATGTAATGCATTAGGTTAAAGTCTGGGTTTACTGTGTTTAGTTCTACATTAGGTTAAAGTCTGGGTTTACTGTGTTTAGTTCTACCTGTATGTAATGACTTGAGTTAAAGTCTGGGTTTACTGTGTTTAGTTCTACCTGTATGTAATGCCTTAGGTTAAAGTGTGGGTGTACTGTGTCTTGTTCAGCCTGTATGTAATGCCTTAGGCTAAAGTCTGGGTTTACTGTGTTTAGTTCTACCTGTATGTAATGCATTAGGTTACAGTCTGGGTGTACTGTGTTTAGTTCTACCTGTATGTAATGCATTAGGTTAAAGTGTGGGTGTACTGTGTTTAGTTCTACCTGTATGTAATGCATTAGATTACAGTCTGGGTTTACTTGTTTAGTTCTACCTGTATGTAATGCATTAGGTTCAAGTGTGGGTTTACTGTGTCTTGTTCAGCTGTATGTAATGCCTTAGGCTAAAGTCTGGGTTTACTGTGTTTAGTTCTACCTGTATGTAATGCATTAGGTTACAGTCTGGGTTTACTGTGTTTAGTTCTACCTGTATGTAATGCCTTGAGTTCATTACATACAGGTAGAACTAAACACAGTAAACTCAGACTTTAACCTAATGCATTACATACAGGTAGAACTAAACACAGTAAACCCAGACTTTCATTAGGTTAAAGTCTGAGTGTACTGTGTTTAGTTCTACCTGTATGTAATGCCTTAGGTTAAAGTCTGGGTTTACTGTGTTTAGTTCTACCTGTATGTAATGCATTAGGTTAAAGTCTGGGTTTACTGTGTTTAGTTCTTCCTGTATGTAATGTATTAGGTTAAAGTCTGGGTTTACTGTGTTTAGTTCTACCCATATGTAATGTATTAGGTTAAAGTCTGGGTTTACTGTGTTAAGTTCTACCCGTATGTAATGCATTAGGTTAAAGTCTGGGTTTACTGTGTTAAGTTCTACCCGTATGTAATGCATCAGGTTAAAAAAGGTGATAGTAAGTTTGACTGTGTAAACATCATTCTAAAGTTATACCCAAGTTTTCAGAGTAATTGTAACATACATATATAGATATATATAAGAGAAAACATTTTGATAAGAAAAACAAATTTTTATATATAATTTACATATTGGGTGCTTATCATCATATGATCTAAAAACAAGAAAGGCAGATGAAACAAAGTGCTACTGTCTTTACATTTCATATATTTATAAACAAGCAGTAGTTGGACATTTTATAGGTAGAAGAGTTCCAGAGTCTTCGGAAGGAGTTTGACGATGCTAGTCAGATGTTTGATCTATTTGCCGATGCTTATACTCCTTCAACACTTCAGGTGCGTTTAGGAGTCGCAACACTACAGGCAGAAGAAGAATCGGATAAGGTGGCAGAGATATTTTTATCCGGTAGGACAGGATTATCTGGGAATGTTTTCGTACATAAAGTAGAACTTTTTATACAATTAAACAAAAAAAAATATTGACACAGAGTTTTAATCTACAGTAAATATCAAAATGCTGCAAAGAATGTTCAAACTGACACAATTCTGGAAAGACTTTGATTTATGATGTTCTATTGCTACCCGATAAACATGCACATCACCGCGTAGGTTCTCGGCTACCAGTGCACGGTGCTGAATAAGAACTTTACAGAAAAGATTGCACGATTCATTCAACTTGAAAGTATTGTATAACTCAAATTGCCTCAAGAAAGCCATGTTTGCATATTATGATGATATCTAAAAATACATGTTGCACAACATTGAAGGTTATCCTACATATAAGTTGAAAAGTAAGCTACTATCCTGGTTCTCTTGAATATTTGATACATCCTGAGTGAGAGTAATACTTATTTTTATGTATTAACTGGAAGTGAGTTAACTAGCAATGCTATTTTGTTTCAACAAATTGTTATTTCATTAAATAAAAATGTTCTGTTGTTTTTTTCTTATTTTGTTTTTTACAGTGTACGATAAGAGTAGTTTCTTTATAACCATTTTAGCACACAAGGTTTTTCATGATCTACAAGATACAATTAACTCTATGTACAGGAGGGTTTAGACAATATCTACATTAGATGTCATGTTCTTACTTTATAATTAACACCATCCACAGGAGGGTTTAGACAATATTTACATTATATGTCATGTTCTTATTTTATAAACTATAATTAACACCATCCACAGGAGGGTTTAGACAATATCCACATTATATGTCATGTTCTTATTTTATAAACTATAATTAACACCATCCACAGGAGGGTTTAGACAATATCCACATTATATATCATGTTCTTATTTTATAAACTATAATTAACAGGAGGGTTTAAACAATATCTACATTATATGTCATGTTCTTACTTTATAAACAATAATTAACACCATCCACAGGAGGGTTTAGACAATATCTACATTATATGTCATGTTCTTACTTTATAAACTATAAATAACACCATCCACAGGAGGGTTTAGACAATATTTACATTATATGTCATGTTCTTACTACCTTAAATGTCATATTATTTCCTTAGGAGATAAACTGTTATTTTCTTCAGAACTTCTTCATTTGAATTTTCTGGTTGTAAAAACCTTTGTTTACATACAATTCAAATATATCTAAGTGTGTTTGGGTGTTTCATACTAAATACAAATTCTCATCTTCAAATCTTCGTTATCATGTAGGAAATGTATAGAGAATCTGGTACCAGATTCATTTTATTGACTATTTGAAGAAAGATTTAGGCCACGTTTTAGGAAATACTTCATGTAGCTTCAGTGTCTTTTGTTTCTATCCACGAAAGTTGTGAAACACTTCAAATACAAACCTGATTATATCAGTTATTTGTTGTTGTTTTTTTACTATGAATTTCTCCTCAGTTTAAGATTTGTTTAAATATAACAATAGAAGCTTTATTTAAATCTAGTAATTTTATGAAAAAGCTATGTTTTTTTCTTTCTGGCAATGAGTTTGAAATAACCATTAAAACTTTGTACAAGAAATCAGTTTAAAACTGACCAAAAAGTTGTTTTGTTAATGCTCCGATATATATTGAAAGTAACGTTTTAAATAACACAATGTCTTTTCTATAGGGGCACTTTCAACAGAAGACTTTCTTAAAAAATTTACAGAAATAAAAATAGTAAGTTACCACAATTCATTCATAAAATATTTAATTTTCAGTTACTCTTATTCTAACTTCTATTCTGTTTGTTTAGACATTTTAACTAGACAAATGATGTTGTAATCCTTCTGTTTGTGTAGACATTATAACTAAACAAACCGTGCTGTAATCTTTCTGTTTGTGTAGACATTATAACTAAACAAACCATGCTGTAATCCTTCTGTTTGTGTAGACATTATAACTAAACAAACCATGCTGTAATCCTTCTGTTTGTGTAGACATTATAACTAAACAAACCATGCTGTAATCTTTCTGTTTGTGTAGACATTATAACTAAACAAACCATGCTGTAATCCTTCTGTTTGTGTAGACATTATAACCAAACAAACCATGCTGTAATCCTTCTGTTTGTGTAGACATTATAACCAAACAAACCATGCTGTAATCCTTCTGTTTGTGTAGACATTATAACTAAACAAACCATGCTGTAATCCTTCTGTTTGTGTAGACATTAAAACTAAACAAACCATGCTGTAATCCTTCTGTTTGTGTTAGTAGATTTCTTTCTGCATTTGCTTACTTATGACTCTGAGAGTTTTGTTGTTTGTTAACATCTTTTCTGTATTACTATTATTTCTTCTCCGAGTTATGTATGACAACATCTGGGTAATTGGATTATGTTAAAGATATAATACATATATATAAGATATATTAAAGATATATATATATATATATATATATATATAAGATATATTAAAGATAACTACTATTGAAGGTTTAGCTTATTTACCAAATAAATTCTTTATTTTATATTGTTTCATGTGTATTAGATTACACTAACTTACTCTACAGGATGTATATGTTCTCCAGTTATTCAAAACAACAAAGAATTAACAAGATTGTTTTTTATTAATGTAGTTTTATAGTGAAACTGTGATAAATTAATTGTGTTAATAGCTCTTCTCATATCTTAGGTAAAGCAAGAAATGTGGGTGATGTAGTATAGTAATAGACCTTATGTTTGTTTTTGTAAACAGATATTATGTTGTAGTTTTCAACAAATATGATACACTTAACATTGGCTAGATCCCGTGACTGCTAGCTATTACTTTCTAGAATGTTACAAGTTTCATTTTTCACTTCCTTGCTTATTAAAGATAGCACCTGGCATAGCTTGAGCGATACCAGTTTCCTTGTAAGGATAAAAATCCATTTATTATCACTTTTTGTTGAAGATTCCAATATTAATTGGTTTTAAGTATAGAAGTTTTAATGATGACACGCACCATCCTGTCAAGTTACAGAATTGAGATCAAGAAATATTCAAACCTATAATCAAGTAGTTGGCAACAAAGCTACTGCAGTAGTTCAAACCACTGTAAGTTCAAGTAAGTATCAGGTGTTTTACGTCTGGTAACTTACTACTGTAAGTTCAAGTAAGTATCAGGTAAGTTACCACTGTAAGTTCAAGTAAGTATCAGCTAAGTTACCACTGTAAGTTCAAGTAAGTATCAGCTAAGTTACCACTGTAAGTTCAAGTAAGTATCAGGTAAGTTACCACTGTAAGTTCAAGTAAGTATAAGGTAAGTTACCACTGTAAGTTCAAGTAAGTATCAGGTGTTTTACATCTGGTAAGTTACCACTGTAAGTTCAAGTAAGTATAAGGTAAGTTACCACTGTAAGTTCAAGTAAGTATCAGGTGTTTTACATCTGGTAAGTTACCACTGTAAATTCCAGTATGTATCTGGTAAGTTACCACTGTAAGTTCAAGTAAGTATAAGGTGTTTTACATCTGGTAAGTTACCACTGTAAGTTCCAGTATGTATCAGGTAAGTTACCACTGTAAGTTCAAGTATAAGGTGTTTTACATCTGGTAAGTTTTCAGATGGTTCAAACATTCTTATTGAAATATCAACCTCTTTATTAACTTGATAATTGTGATTATTTAAATGATTGTTTGCAGCTTGCTCACCAGCGAAGAGCTAAGGAGGAGAGGCTTCAGCATCAGTTACTGGAACTGCAAAGAGCTGGAATTTAGAACTGGTATCAAGTTTCTTCATACTTCATTGAAAGTTCCAGAAGCAAGAGGGTATTACACAACAAGACAGAACGATGGAAAAGTTAGTCAAGAGCTTGAGGGCCATGTGACAGCCTCTCCCACATTTGACATTTTGTAATCGTTATTTTTGCTTCCCATTTAATACGAGCTGAGAAATATCAGACACGTTCTAGTGCTTCCCTCATCTAGTTCGGGTAAAAACATTTAGTTCGTCTTTTATGTTGACCTTGTTTCTTTCGGTTAAGTTATTTTATAAGGAATAGTACCATTCAAGTTGTTGGTGTATGATTTTCAGGTAATTAAAAACACTATTGAAGATAATTTAGAAATAAAGGAATGTGTAAAAACTACAGAATTAATTAAGACCAGCTACTACACATTAATAAGACAACTTACCTACATTATTATAAGCACTTTCACTAAGGACAACCGAAATATATTTAATACATTTACATAGTTGCAATTGTACACCACAAACTTCTAACTAAGTGCTGACAGTAAGTTTCCACTTAGGATTCTGTATCTTTACTTTAAAATTGTGATTGGATTTGTATGATAGAAAAATAAGTTTTAAACAAAGTTTCAGCCAGTGTAAGTAATCTTTGTAAAAGGATTTCTAGTGTGTCTTCTTACAGGTAACTGGTTGATTCTTCACTCTCTTTAAAGCATCACTGAACAGGACTTCTAGTGTGACTTGTTACAGATAATCGGTTCTTCACTCTACTTTAAAGCATCACTGAACAGGTCTTCTAGTGTGACTTGTTACAGATAATCGGTTCTTCACTCTACTTTAAAGCATCACTGAACAGGTCTTCTAGTGTGACTTGTTACAGATAATCAGTTCTTCACTCTACTTTAAAGCATCACTGAACAGGACTTCTAGTGTGACTTGTTACAGATAATCGGTTCTTCACTCCTCTTTAAAGCATCACTGAACAGGTCTTCTAGTGTGACTTGTTACAGATAATCGGTTCTTCACTCTACTTTAAAGCATCACTGAACAGGACTTCTAGTGTGACTTGTTACAGATAATCGGTTCTTCACTCCTCTTTAAAGCAACACTGAACAGGACTTCTAGTGTGACTTTTTACAGATAATCGGTTCTTCACTCTACTT